CGAGCCAGCTCGTTCGACAAGATAAAATCGAGATGGATAAAGGGTTAACGCGTTGAGTGTTACGCGCGGGGCGGTGAAAAGCGAGGAAGATCATTCGATAACTACAAACTATATTTTCAATGTTTTCGAAAATATCCTGTAAATCAAGAATACATATAATGGGAATTGTCTATGAAATTTTCCTTTTTTCATCGACGTGACGTAACGTAAACGTTCGATAAATAATTAATATTGATAATTATTATTATTATTTGTTAATAATTCGACGATTTAAAAAAAGAAAAAAAGAAAAGAGAAAGAAAGTTTGACCTGACATGGCCAAACTTTCTATACAAGCGATAAATAGATAGAAATTTGGCAAGAAATTTATAATGAAAGAACTGTGTAACATAGTGCGAGTATGTTTTTTAATTGTAACAGAGATAGATTAGATTAGATCAATGACCTAATAATAGTCTAAATAATATAGTCTGATGCCTCAATAATTGGAACAAAAAATTATTATTAATATTATAATAATATATATATTATTATTAATATTATAATAATATATATAATATTATTATTATAATAATATATATATTATAATATTATTATTATTATAATAATATATATATTATAATATTATTATATATATATATATATATATATATCATATTATTTTCTATAAGTATACCTTTAGAAAAGAAATATAAAAGAATGTATAAAAGAGAGAAAAAGAAAGAGAGAGAGAGAGAGAAAAAGGGAGAACAAAATTTGAGTAGACGATTATGAACAGACCTTTAGGATTTCCCCGTCCGTGACGTCGTTGACTCGCGTGGGTGATAGCGGACGCGAGCTGCGCGGCAGCTCGTTTCGGAGGGTTGGGTTTCCAGCTTCACAAGTAAGGTTCATGCTTCCTTCCACCTCCGGCTTCGAGCTCAGCCGCAGAAGCCTCGTGCTTCATCCACGAGAGGGTGGAATAGAGAGGGTTGGATTGGAGTGGGTGACGTTGGAGGAAGTGGATGAGAGTCAAGAAGGAGGTGGAGCTACGGAGTCGGAGTCGGAGTTGGTAGAAGGTGAGGTGGAGGTGAAGGTGACTCGTGCTCAACGTCGACGACGTGCCCGACTTGGAGGAGATGGAACTGGCCTGTTATATCGAGCGAGTACGAAAGAGAGAAAGAGAGAGAGAGAGAGAGAGAGAGAGAGAGAGAGAGAGAGAGAGAGAGAAAAGGAGATAGATTTTCAGCAAGACTGAAAAGACACAGTCAGTATCTATATCATACATATATATATATATATATATATATATATATATATATATATATATATATATTACTACTCGATTCAAAGCGATCGTTGTTTATTAACGAACGATAGTTAAGCTGTCGTATACCTTTCGATAATTACTCTCTCTCTCTCTCTCTCTCTATCTATCTATCTAGCTATCTTTCTCTCTTCCTCTCTGTCTCTGTCGCTCTTTATCTCTCTTTTTCATTTGCTCTCATTTCGATGTCATACGTGTAACCGTGTATAAGAGCATATTAATATTTTATAAATGGATCCTCGCGCTAGATGGAACAGGGAAAATCGATCCAATCTATCGAACAAGATTGAATCCCGACGTGGAGGTACTCTTTAATGGATTTTTTGTCACTACCTTGTGCGGAAAATATTTAATGACAACCGTCAAAATTCTTGTTAATATCCTTGTTACATTGTTACTTCGTTACTTTGCATTTGTAGAGCAGGAAGGAAAATAAAAAAGGGGAAAAAGGAAAAGGAAAAAAGAAAAGGGGGAAAAGAAGAAAGAGAAGAAATCGAATGGAATATATTTTTGAGGATATTATTTGATAAAGTTTTTCCCTTCATTTTCCATTTATCTTATTCTTTATTCGTTATTAAACGATATTCTAACGTCTAACGACGAAAACCAATGCGAAACTATCATTCTCTCATTCGCACCGTTCCACGACTTTCTACTACGTTCGTTTCTCTCTTTTCTTTCTTCCATTGGCCGGTGGTCCACTTGGGTGGCTCGAAGAGCATATTTACCGCACGCGGCGACGCCGATGTACAACGTTCTACAAGGCGTTTCAAAATTAATTAATATCGTAACGTCGATTAATATCCACGACAAATCGATGATTTGGTGTATATGAATAAAAAAAAAAAAAAAAAAAAAAGAAAAAGAAAAAAATAAAAAAGGAAGAAAAAAAAATTCGTGGGGTAAAAAATAACATAGCTCTACGAAATGAATAAATAAGTAAATAAATAAATATATACATATATATATATATATATATATATTCTCTCTCTGTCTTTTTTTTTGTTTTTGTTTTTGTTTTTTTTTAGTACGATTCCGACAGCCTCAAATATTCAAGAGATATTTCAAATCTTCTTCGAACTAGATATATTTGACACGTTTAATGAATATATTTAAAAATAGACGTTTTCTTTGTAAAAGTAAAAAATATAAAATCTAGACACACACACACACACACACACACACACACACATA